CATTCAAACACAAACATGAAACAATATGGACAACAAGAGACGCCTTACATACAATCAATACTTCACTTACGGTGGTTATATATATATATATATATATATATATCCACCTGTAAAGATATACATGGCCACTAATCAATGCACAAATGTCTACTCAGGAAACTATCAACTCTGCACATAACACACGTGAAAAATGTGCTCCTCCTTGACCTCACACCTACTTGAAAAACCGCATAGCACAAAATATTTACGCATGTGCATTAATTGCACTGCACCTATATCAGCTGACTAAACGACATCGTACACACATATGAACGATGCAGTATGACAGCTAGCGAAACATAGGTGAATCATAGCACAAACAAAAACTCTCTCTCTCTCTCCCTCTCACACACACACACACAACACAAATACATGGCTACAGAACATACAATACAACATACTAACAACCGAGGAGAAATTCCATGTCGCCTACACATCGTACCCGTCGAGTCCCAACAATGGACAAGAGGCATAGCAGTGCATCGATTCACTCTCAGCCATGTGGAACGACCCTCCATGCACCATATATGTATGGGGCAGCTGAATGGCTACTCCCTCTATCTACCAAAACACATGACAAACAACACTACTGCATACACGTACATCATCATCATCATCAACCAAACCAATCTATGACACACTGAAACTCTCACAGACACACAGGCACAGGAAGATCGCGGATTCATAGATTGTCAGGATTAACCGGACATTGAATTTCAAGTCTTCGATTACACAGAGAGGGGTCTACACGGGTAAGCTGAAAGTCTTCGGTTTCATCCCTAGCAGGTGAGCAGGTTGCATACTGCTAAGGAGACAGCAACTAAAAGAAATCATCTGTGTCAAATCAATTCGTTTTCCATGGCTCTTCAAAAAGTACTCTCTCACAACGATATCTACTTCAACATAGTAAAACTCTTAGGATCCGCGTCTAATCGACAAACTCACGCAAACATTCTTCAACAACTAGGCGTAAATACTTCACACCACAACCACCCTCAACATTCGTCATCATCACGTAAACCAAGACGCATACAATCATCATCGACAGTTGGCAATTAACACATGAGACGGAGAAACAACAACAGATTGCGTGTAGACTGCACGTCGTACCAATCAAATCCCAACAATGGACAAGAGGCATAGCAGTGCATCGATTCACTCTCAGCCATGTGGAACGACCCTCCATGCACCATATATGCATGGGGCAGCTGAATGGCTACACTGCACCACAATAATTGAACTACCGAATACACAGATATACAGTAAGGAAGGGCAATACATACATTCAATTATTTACTATTTATTCAAACACAAACATGAAACAATATGGACACCAAGAGACGCCTTACATACAATCAATACTTCACTTACAGTGGTTACAGATAATTATGTATATATATATATAGATATATATATATATATATCCACATATAAAGATATACATGGCCACTAATCAATGCACAAATGTCTACTCAGGAAACTATCAACTCTGCACATAACACACGTGAAAAATGTGCTCCTCCTTGACCTCACACCTACTTGAAAAACCGCATAGCACAAAATATTTACGCATGTGCATTAATTGCACTGCACCTATATCAGCTGACTAAACGACATCGTACACACATATGAACGATGCAGTATGACAGCTAGCGAAACATAGGTGAATCATAGCACAAACAAAAACTCTCTCTCTCTCTCCCTCTCACACACACACACATACACAAATACATGGCTACAGAACATACAATACAACATACTAACAACCGAGGAGAAATTCCATGTCGCCTACACATCGTACCCGTCGAGTCCCAACAATGGACAAGAGGCATAGCAGTGCATCGATTCACTCTCAGCCATGTGGAACGACCCTCCATGCACCATATATGTATGGGGCAGCTGAATGGCTACTCCCTCTATCTACCAAAACACATGACAAACAACACTACTGCATACACGTACATCATCATCATCATCAACCAAACCAATCTATGACACACTGAAACTCTCACAGACACACAGGCACAGGAAGATCGCGGATTCATAGATTGTCAGGATTAACCGGACATTGAATTTCAAGTCTTCGATTACACAGAGAGGGGTCTACACGGGTAAGCTGAAAGTCTTCGGTTTCATCCCTAGCAGGTGAGCAGGTTGCATACTGCTAAGGAGACAGCAACTAAAAGAAATCATCTGTGTCAAATCAATTCGTTTTCCATGGCTCTTCAAAAAGTACTCTCTCACAACGATATCTACTTCAACATAGTAAAACTCTTAGGATCCGCGTCTAATCGACAAACTCACGCAAACATTCTTCAACAACTAGGCGTAAATACTTCACACCACAACCACCCTCAACATTCGTCATCATCACGTAAACCAAGACGCATACAATCATCATCGACAGTTGGCAATTAACACATGAGACGGAGAAACAACAACAGATTGCGTGTAGACTGCACGTCGTACCAATCAAATCCCAACAATGGACAAGAGGCATAGCAGTGCATCGATTCACTCTCAGCCATGTGGAACGACCCTCCATGCACCATATATGCATGGGGCAGCTGAATGGCTACTCCCTCTATCTACCAAAACACACGACAAACAACACTACTGCATACACGTACAACATTATCAACCAGTTCAAGTGGGCAAATAAGCGAACACAAAACATACACACTGTATGTCGCTTTGGATGACAGAGTTTGCAAATAACAAATCTGCATGTGCGACTCGACAAATTAACTCTCAGCCGCATACAACACTTCATCACTCACTCACTACAAGTGTATTCACATGTTCGGCGGCTACTCATTACACGAAACTGCAAACACACACACACACACATTTATAAGTATACAGCTGATATCCAATTCACACTTAGAAAAGACATTCACAAGGTTGAAAGAAGGTCATGACAAACACGCAGACACACCACATAAAAACCAACACCACACCCTCATCGACCAAATCACACAAACATACTTCAACAACTAGGCGTAAATACTTCACACCACAACCACCCTCAACATTCGTCATCATCACGTAAACCAAGACGCATACAATCATCATCGACAGTTGGCAATTAACACATGAGACGGAGAAACAACAACAGATTGCGTGTAGACTGCACGTCGTACCAATCAAATCCCAACAATGGACAAGAGGCATAGCAGTGCATCGATTCACTCTCAGCCATGTGGAACGACCCTCCATGCACCATATATGCATGGGGCAGCTGAATGGCTACTCCCTCTATCTACCAAAACACACGACAAACAACACTACTGCATACACGTACAACATTATCAACCAGTTCAAGTGGGCAAATAAGCGAACACAAAACATACACACTGTATGTCGCTTTGGATGACAGAGTTTGCAAATAACAAATCTGCATGTGCGACTCGACAAATTAACTCTCAGCCGCATACAACACTTCATCACTCACTACAAGTGTATTCACATGTTCCGCGGCTACTCATAACACGAAACTGCAAACACACACACACACACATTTATACGTATACAGCTGATATCCAATTCACACTTAGAAAAGACATTCACAAGGTTGAAAGAAGGTCATGACAAACACGCAGACACACCACATAAAAACCAACACCACACCCTCATCGACCAAATCACACAAACATACTTCAACAACTAGGCGTAAATACTTCACACCACAACCACCCTCAACATTCGTCATCATCACGTAAACCAAGACGCATACAATCATCATGGACAGTTGGCAATTAACACATGAGACGGAGAAACAACAACAGATTGCGTGTAGACTGCACGTCGTACCAATCAAATCCCAACAATGGACAAGAGGCATAGCAGTGCATCGATTCACTCTCAGCCATGTGGAACGACCCTCCATGCACCATATATGCATGGGGCAGCTGAATGGCTACACTGCACCACAATAATTGAACTACCGAATACACAGATATACAGTAAGGAAGGGCAATACATACATTCAATTATTTACTATTTATTCAAACACAAACATGAAACAATATGGACACCAAGAGACGCCTTACATACAATCAATACTTCACTTACAGTGGTTACAGATAATTATGTATATATATATATAGATATATATACATATATATCCACTTATAAAGATATACATGGCCACTAATCAATGCACAAATGTCTACTCAGGAAACTATCAACTCTGCACATAACACTCGTGAAAAATATACTGCCTTCGGTATCAATTCTCGAAAGATCGGTAGATGATTTGGAGCTTTTTGACATGTTTATTTGGTGTGTTTGTGGGTTTTATTTGTGGGATATTGTTGTTTGTTTTAGGATGCTTGTAATGTGGTGTTTGGTTTCGGATGTGCAGGGTGGTGTTTCTTGGGTGATTCTCGATGGGTGTCGTGTGTTTTGTATTTGTAATGGATGTGTTTGAAGAGGATGAGGTTTAGTTTATCAGGTGGAAGGATCCTTCTGACATTTGGTTATCCCTCTTGGTGGAGTGCCATGAATGTGATTCTATTAGCTTCCATACCATGGAATTGATATTAATCCTGTTGTTCGTAATAGCGGTTATCCTGGGCAGATGAAGAATATACGTTTTGGGTATACACACATTGATTTATGACGACTGCTTGTGTAAGATGATTTAAGTCATCATCAGATGAGTTGCATTTAAAGTGAATGACATACTTGCAATTTGCTTTTTCGAACTCCTAAGGTAATGTGATGTGAAGAACGCTTTATCAAGTTTGTGTTTAGCCGTTTTTACTCATTTATTCCCCGTCTATTATTATTTCTACTATTTAGTACAGCTCATCTGATACCTACAACATTGTACTAACCTTTATTTAAATGAATAATTTAAACTTGGGATTTTGAGCTGCTGAAAGGAATTTAATTATCTTACGCAGATACAAACAGACAGTGAAAATGCATTATACATCTGCACGTGAAATACATACCCTCTCATAAATCCTGCAGCTACCATTGCTGCCGCTGTTGCGGCGGCATCTCCTGCAGGTCCAGCATTTGGTCCACCTGCTGTCTGACCACCGGTCGCAGCAAGCATGGCTGCTGCCGATGCATGAGGGATACCTCCAGCTAGTGCCTGATTCACGGATGCTGACTGAGTACCTCCACGTCCTGTCACTGTAGCTCCAGAAGCACCACCACCAAAAATTCCAGTTGCGAGTATATTATTCTATTTAAAAGGTACAATGTGAATACTTATATATTTTAAAATATAAAGTTAACTAAATAAAGCCGTATAAATACAGTGAAAGACATTCACTCATCAACCGAAAGTTCACATGCTTGTTTGGTGAGCTGAACATATAGCACACTGATGACTGACATTTTCTAAACCCATGTTTCCAGTTAAGGATAAAATGACTGAACAAACAGGTAATAGGTTCAAATACGTCTATGTATCTTGCTTAAGGTAAGAAAAATAACTTAAATACATAAAGTCGTCGACCTACTGGTAAAGATCAAGTGTCCTCAGGTTATTCCAAAGGAACATAACAGTCCGATGTCCTTTTCGTAGACTTCTTTAACAGGAACGAAACGGTGGAACAATGACCATTAAAAATTTTGGATGAGTAACTGATAAAACTAGAATATGACACCTACAACTACTTTGATTTGGGATACCGAAACAGCTCAGGAAAACATGTTGGTTTGTTATTGTGATGGTTCGTACCAGCTAGACAACTGTCCTCATGTATTCCAACCCATATAGCTGGTATAGTTCAAAGATAGTTGCGTAAACCTACATAGAGTGACCCTTAGTTTAACTTAATTTGTGGATGGTGACTAGCAGTGGGATCCAGGACGCGCATTTCGTCCTATTTGGGACTCATCATCTGGATGTACCTGCATTTCCCAGTGAGTGATGATGTTCCCACCGAGGCTCGAACCCAGTGCCCATAGTTTCAAACGCCAAAGCGTTATTCACTAGACCACTTGGGAACATCATCGCTTACTGGGAAATGCAGGTACACTCAGTTGACGAGTCCCAAGTAGGACGAAACGCGCGTCCTGGATTCCACTGCCAGTCACCATCCACAAATTAAATTCTAATCAAATACCCAGACATCGTCGAAGCATCTGCACAAGAAGCCGACATGTCAACCTGAGAGTGAGCACTTCGGTCCAATCAATCGACAGGAAAATCTAAAATTCAATTAAACCTTGGTTTAATTCCTTGAATAAAAAGAACTATACAAACATTGAATACTAATCCTTCAAAATAGTTTTGGAACCAGTTACTTAGATCAATCACAGAGACCAGGGATCACTAGAAATGAATTTGATTATTCTGAACTGGATAAAGCGCCGTGACCTGTGCACAAAACACCAACTGCGCATCAAGATAGTAGATATAATAAGGAATTTGAAAGTCAAGTGCTTTAGGACGCTGCGATAGGCAGTCAACCCATTTGCTAAGTATCACGCTGAAGGGTGTGAAGGAAATATCTAGTTGTGAACCCAGCAGATCATTCCTTAATACCAAACAAATATTTCAAATGAAAGCTTTCTTTTGGCTCAGGAAGCAGGTTTCAGATGCTTCGTATTTGTGCTTAGATAATTTCATACTGCAATTTGAGTACTTACAAATTTGAACTATAAAGGTGTTTGTCAAGAGAATGACGGTTTTAAATTGAAAGCACTGCAACTGGTGCACGTGTGACTTACTATACAAATAAGAATCGAATATGAGACTGAGGGCATTACAGCAAATTCTTGTCCCACTAAGCTTGAATTTTATGAACCTGTAAGAGTCAAACCTAGATAGTGGCAGTTTAAGATGACATGGAAGCGAAACTTTATGACAAATCCATCTTATATTTTGATTCTATACCCACTTCAAGTAGGGATGCACGGCTATCAGGTGAGTTTTACTACAAAAAAAAGTGATACACATGGAAAATTTATTAGGCATTTCAACTGAGAAATATACCAGGCGACTTACGTAGGATTAATAGTGACTAACCAATTAGTCCAACTACTATCAAGAGATTGACCTTCCAGGTATACATTTATTTACTCAATGGGCTAATAATAAACTTTTTGCAGCGGTGGGACCGAATGAGTGGCTGCTTGAACAAGCAATCCCTACATTTAACTACGAAATATACTATACTTTAAGAAATCTAAACCTTTTGAAGCACTTTTAAACACACAAACGGATAATCATGAACTCACCTGAGCGTAGTTTGTGTTCGCAACATTATTTCTACCACGAACAAGATTCAGACCGGATCCATGATTACCTAAACCCCAACCTCCGTACTCAAGAGACATTGACTCATCTACATTGCGGGCATCATAATTTTGTCGAGAGCCTTTAGGCGGAGCGCCCTAAGAAAAGCAATGTATGATACAAAAATGTACCTCAAGGAGTTCAGCTATGGATCGTAAGCATTCAATAACTTTTCCAACGTCACCAACAAGTTGTATCACTCTGTCGGTTGAACAAGGACACAGCATCTGATATACTTTGAGTGTATGAAGACCTGATTGCTGGATTTTTAAATAAATATTAAAAGCTTTAAAATACCTCACGCAGTTCTTTTATTTTATATCCACCTCTCCCAATGACACATCCTGCCTGACTTTGATGCACAAGTAAGCGCAAGTCAACCGCATCTTCACGATTACTTTGCATCTATATATTGGTAAAAAGGATATTCTAATGACAAACCTTTTCAAGATTCTCTCTGAATATTTCAACGATTGATCCAAGGTCGCCATCCAAGACAAGGACCCTTTAGATGAAAAAATATTAGATTATAATAAATTGAGAAATATGTCATGTGGGACATGAAAATATACCTCTCAGGCCCGTTGCTATCGGGAATGGTAACTTTAACGGAATACTAATGGTACAAACAAGAGTGAGAAATGACCCACCGGGAGTGGACCGGATTAATGAGTGGTGCGAAAAGCAGATGAACAATACGGGGCAGGGTAGGGTGGGTTACGAACCATTGGTTTGGACACATTGATATTCGGACAGGCCAAGAGTAGGACAAAACCAGAAGAAATGAAAGAGAAAATAAACTTGCAAGTTAGGACTGAGAAAGTTGTAAGACAGAAGGGCAAGCAATATTTGAGCAAACATTTACCTCCTCGCGGATTTTTTTAATATTTTCACCCCCTTTCCCTATTATAACACCTGCTGCCTTTAATATCAGTTAACAGTGACAAAAGTAAACTTACTTTCGTTGATATTAGAAACCGTAATTCCACCTTTGGCCCTTCTCCACGTCTCATAGTCCACGGTCCCTAAGGTAGACCGTTAAGAGAGTTCAGAATGTATTACTTAGTCCCTGGACAGGTTAGACAACCTAATATGCAATATCCAGGGTGACGACAAACTCTACACCGACCATAACTCAGGTCACCTCATCAACAAGGTTAAACAACGCTCAGATGTTCAAAATCCAAGCAACCTTTTCAGATCCCATTTTTGTCTAAAAGCAAGGGACTACAAACCTATGGTAATCCCTTTTTCTACCAGGTAGATTCGCTTCTCCGATCCTTCCTTCATCAGATCTTTTGAAGATAAGGAACCCACTCATTCCAGCATTCCGTACCTTGAGTCAATAATCCCGTGGAACAACGCGTCACTATGATACTTACAACATACTCTTAAGGACAGCAGGCTTCAATTCTGTTTTAACTCTTCAAACCATTTTATGTCCGAGATCCAGTGTGATTTGAATTGTTTAACAAATTTTTGGTACGATGTGTTCCGGTAGAATTCCGCTGGCTCGCAATTCCATACTAGAAATGAACTGAGGGGTGTTAATGATTTAACCGTGGCTTTTAGGCTTTGAGGTAATTTCCTTCCAAATAATCAGTTCAAGAGGGAGGCCATAAGTAGGGAAAACCAGTACCTTGATATTCACGTAACGTGTGGAGTGCCAATATGAGATTACTCCCAGTTATCATATGATGGTGGGAATAAATCTAGCTCATCAAACCTCGTTCTGTATGAGAGGCTTGATCAGTTTAGTCCCAACTGCTTTGGCCATTTGCAGTGTCCACCTCACATTTGAAACACAGGACTTCTGTATTCCGAATGAGGTCAGATACAGTTAGAATGTGATGTACGAAATATATTGAAATCAAAGTTTGCAAAGAACTTGTGATGAGATTACTACGTTCTGAAACTCTTCACAGTTTTCTGCGGCTTTAGGGTTGTAGATGACAGTCACCTCTTTTATTCCGCACCTGCGTGCAGAGTATTATCATCATATTTAATTATTAATTCCTTGGGTTCCAAGTGGAACGTAGGACTTCAACAGCACATCTCACTATTCTGCTGTTTCCTCTGGTCGCTGCAAGACTTATTGTTCTCCTCACACTATCTTCCTCGGATACCCAACTCGTCGTTTTCCATTCAGGTTTCAGTCGACAGTCTGCGCGCGATGGTCTCCTAGGTGTGTATCCAACATCTCTCCTTCCGCTTCTTCATTTTGTTGGGCAATAAGTTCTTGGCTGGTTCCATCCCAGAGTTTCCTGTTACTGATTCTTTCTGACCATCTGATCTTCAGTATGTAGCCAACGAAGGCAAGTCTGCAGTAGTCTGTTGGAAACGATGCTCACTGCAAGTTTCCGACTCATATAGAAGAACAGATTTAACACTGGTGCTGGAAATCCGAGTCTTGTTCTTCATGCTGAGTACATAAGATTTCCGAACCGATTTCGGAGTGATGAAGTTGTACCTTACCTTTCCAATTCTGGTGTTGACAACCTATGTGTTCCACCACTTGAAGTTGGAACGATGATGGTTAGGTTTATGAAGTTACCTGTTTGAAATTTATCCCGTTGGTGGTGATTGGTGCTGGCTGTTGATGCTGTCGTTTGGTTATCTTCATCACCTTATCTTATCTATGTTCACCCGTAATCCCATCTTCGCTGTTTCTTCAGCCAGTTTATTGGTTTTCGACTGTGTGTTTGAGTTTGTATGATTTAAAACACAAATCATCTTCAAAATCTAGATCTTCTAGAGTCGTTTTATCGGTCGTATATGTGCCTGTTTCCTCTCTGCCCATGACCTGTTATATGATCACATCTACCGCAATCAGGAATATCGCCGGTGACCATAGGCAGACCTGTCCTACCCCATCTGTACTTCAAAAGCCTCTCTAAGTTTTCCACTGTGGATCACTTGACATGTGGCATTTCCAAATGGCTTTTCAGTTAAGTTGGTAAAGGTTTGAGTCAACCTGTTGTAGTGCTTCCTAATGTCTTTCGAAAATCGACAGAATCTAGGTAGATACTTGGCTGCTATTTTACGCTGTTTTCGTTGATGACGCGTTGCATAAAATGGGATCAGCACATTCAGTCTTGAGGTTCTGCGTTCAGTGCACCTTTTAGTCTCTCCAGGATGACATGCCTTAAGATTTCGCCTGGTGTGCATAAGAGCACGATTCTATGCTGGTTTTTTGTAAAGGCTTCAGTTCCCCATCTTTGATAGTTTACCAAGATAGTCTTCATTTAAGTTATTGGGTACCTTTCCTTCTATCCGAGCTGTCTGCAGTATTGGTGTGAGGACATCCACTTAAATTCTGGAACCGTTCTCAGTGCCTCCGGAGACATTCTGTATGGTCCCACTGCCTCCTCGGATTCAGTGGCCTTATGGAGGATTGGTGTTCACTGATGTCCGTGGCTGTTGGTGGTATTTCTTGAAGAGGTGAGGGTGGTGGCCGGTTCATAGGTCCTTTGAAGTGAGGAGTCCATTATTTCCTTTGCCTCTCCTCTTTTGTAATTAGTTTTCTACATCTCTACCCCGACTTCATAGACTTCTAAAACGCCTTCCACAGTGTAAACCGAGAAGTAATTTGGAAACTACTTCAACACTACGGCGTACCTCAAGTCTTTATCAACCACATTCAACAGCTAAATGACAGTGGCACTTGTCAGGTGATCCACAATGGGAAACTTAGCGAAGCTTTTGAGGTTTTGAAGCGTAAGATAGGGCTGTCTATTATCATCCATGGTATTCCTAATTGTGGTGGACTGGATTATGCGTCAGGCTGTACACAGGAATTCTCTGGACCACCAATAAGAAGATTCTAGAAGATCTGGATTTCTTAGATGATATATGTCTCATGTCACACAAACTCGAAGACTTGCAAGCGAAAACCAACAAACTGATTGAAGAGGCCGACAACGAAGACAGGGCTGCAGGTGAACATATAGAAGACAGAAGTGATGAAGATAACCAAGGTACCGCAACAACAACAACAGCCAGCACCAAACACCGCCAACGAGAGGGATTTGTAGAGGCTTCTTCCTTCACTTATGTGGGAAGCATCATTTCAGCCACAGGCGTAACGGATGAAGATGCTAAAGCCAGAATCGGAAAGACGAGATACGCCTATACCATTCTCAAACCGATTTGTAAGTCTTCTGCACTCCACATAAGGAACAAGATTCGGATTCTCAACACAAATGTCAAGTCACTCACTGCTTCTATATGGGTAAGAAACTTGGCCTGCGTGTGACGAAAAGGATTTCCAACAGGCTTCAGAATTTTACCAACAGCTGCCTTCCATGGCCAGAAAGAATAAATAACAAACCAACAGGTGAGAGCCGAATGCACAACAAATATGTAGGAGAAGATGGAGATAGATCGGGCATATATTGAGGAGATCGTCGGATGGCATCGCGCGCAATGCAAACCATTGCTCTGGTGAAATCCCAGCAGGAAGCGAGGAGTGGGTCGTCCTAGGGTGACATGGAGGGGATAGTGTGAGGAGGAGGTAGGAGATTATGGGCAATGGTGATCTGAGCTGAAAAGGACGGAGGAAGATAGAAGAAAGTAGCGATTTGTTGCTGAGGCCCTATGTTCCACCAGGAACTCAAAGGAACAATAATGATATTGTAAAAATGACTACTATCGCGTGGGTTCCTATGCATTTTTTGAGTCGTGCTTATATGTGTGATATTTTCTTGGTCGATACTTCTCAGTTATGTGGTCTAATATTCCGTTTTTCTGACGAATTAACTGCGATAAGCTGTGGCAGTAGTGGGTGCTAATTGACGGAGACTTTTTTAGAAGTTCGTTGCAAGTAATCAGTTTGAGTGAAAGCAGCACAGACGTAAGTGAAAGTTTTCGTGACATAATACTGAGTAGGTGCATTTTCATCTGGGAAGAATTCGAGAATGCATTAGAAGACTATCGGAAAAAGAGTAAGTCATCAAATAATAACACTAGTTGTCCTACACTCTTTTCGTTCGTATTCAGGGCGAAAAACGGCGGATGAGAGATTTAAAAACGTGCATATCGCCTTTAAATGCACTTTCAGAGTGAAACTTGTGAAACTAGGGGAAAATTGAAGAATAACTCGTAAGGTACTATGTATATTTAAGGTCTAGATTTGGCAACTGCTCTTCTTCGTTTCGTATAATTTTGCACTCTGGTGAATGCTTGGTGACGTCTTATAAGGTGGTGCATAAAAATCCATGCAAGGCAGTGTACATGAACAGTGGTCTTTGGAGTAGGTGACTAACAGTAGAAGGGAAAGCAAATGCGGAACCACTTCCGCATCAATCGTACACCTCTGATGACATAATGGGGTATGTTAAGGAGAAATTTTACAGGGAAATCATGAATAATGACGTTTAAATTAGGAAATCCTCCGTTAATAAAGGCAAAGTGAGCTTCATGAGCAGTGCGTTGTAGCTGATCAATGTACTTAGTGTCATTCGTGGTCACTTTAAAGCCTATATACACTCAAAGGTTGTCAAACATTCTCACTGTTGATACGAGACAGTATAAGCTCTCCCCGTCAACAGTCAAACTTCTCTTCTCGGCTTCTTGCGTCGCTTTTTCGGTGGTATCGTATAGTGTTGTTGCTAATAGTGGCTAGAACAATAGGCTTGTGAATCGGTTAGGTGGGAAACTCATTAGCACAACTAAAATTATATTAGCGGTCAAATTGCAACAGCAAAAGGTAAGATATAGAAGCCAAGGTATATTTTCCATTGATCAAACCGCTATTTATACAGATACAGTTTTATATTCTATAACCAGTCATTAGGTGTGTGGTTTTGGCTCACACTAAGCGACATGATATAGAATGTTCAAATATGCATAGTATTCTGTTGCTAACACAGTATTGAACTGTGGGAATGTGTGAGAATAACATTCCGTTGGAACACACTGTCTGCATCACACCACCACACTCATCCTCCAGCTAAATAGTTCAGACTGAATTCGTCTTGATCTTCTTGGTGTTGGAGTCTTTGTTTGCTTATCT